TATGAGTGCTGAAAGCATACATAAAATTTAAAATAATAGTAATAAATCGGAAAATAATAAATCAGAAATATAGAATCTTAGAAAAGAATAGTCTAAATTTTTTTTTTTAAGTTTTATTTGGTTTGGGGGTTTGGGGCCACCTGGTGGTGCTCAGGGCTTACTCTTGACCCTGCTCTCAGGGGTCACTCCTGCAGGGGCTCGGGGCATGATAGGAAGTGCTGGGCATCGAACCCAAGTACACTGCATGCAAAGCAACTGACCTGCCCACTGCTCTAATTCTCCGATCCTAACATTTCTTTTAAAAAAAATTTTTTTGGATGTTTTTGGGCCACACTCGGCGATGCTCAGGGGTTCCTCCTGGCTCTGCACTCAGGAATCACTCCTCGCAGTGCTTGCGGGGCTCCATGGGATGCCAGGGATTGAGCCCGGGTTGGCCACGTTCAAGGCCAGTGCCCGACCTACTGTACTGTCACTCCAGCCCTAAAACCAAAATGTTAAAGTTGACAGAAACAGCCCCACAGAAACTCTTCACTACTAGATGGCAGCATTTCACTGGCATAGCAAAGCAGTAGATGACAAATCAGAGGGGAAAATTCTGGCACGTATAGCTAGGAAGTGATTCATATTCATAGTATGTGGAGGCCCCCTACAAGGCCTTATTCTATGGGCCTACATCCTTATTCTATAGGAAAAGAATAAGCAATCCTATGACATTTTTAAAAAAATTATTAAAGAAGGTAAATGAACCAACCACAAAGGGAAACGGTGAGCACTGAATGGTGAGTCTCCCTCCCAGGCAAACAAATCATGCAGGTTTTTTTTTTTTTTTTTGGCTTATTGGGTCACACCCGGCGATGCTCAGGGGTTACTCCTGGCTCATGCACTCAGGAATTTTTTTTTTTTGCTTTTTGGGTCATACCCGGCGATGCTCAGGGGTCACTCCTGGTTCATGCACTCAGGAATTGCTCCTGACGGTGCTCGGGGGACCATATGGGATGCTGGGAATCGAACCTGTGTCGGCCATGTTGGCTGCGTGCAAGGCAAACGCCCTACCCGCTGTGCTATCGCTCCAGCCCCAAAAATCATGCAGTTTTGAGGTCCCAGTCTAGGGCAAGGAACTTGAAGCCCGCTCACAGAACTGAGAGCAGCGGAATGTGAACTGCAGAGAGGTCAGGAAGTGCCACTTCTCCTTTAAGTTCCCACCCCGTGGAACTCTGGCAGTCTTGGGGGCCCCTCTGGGTCCCCAGAAGACCAGCAGTGCCAGGATCCACCCTGGGCCTTCTGCTTGCCCAGCATGCCTTCCACCCTCGGGGCCGTCGCCCCAGCACCTACCCCTCAAACCCTCCTTCTAAGAATCTATGCTATAGGGGCCATCGCTGAGTGTCACCCAAAAAGCAATTAAAAAAAAGAAAATCCGGGGCCGGAGTGATAGCACAGCGGGTAGGGCGTTTGCCTTGCAGGTGGCCCGACCCGGGTTCGATGCCCAGCATCCCATATGGTCCCCTGAGCACGGTCCGGAGTAGTTCCTGAGTGCATGAACCAGGAGTAACCCCTGAGCATCGCCAGGTGTGACCCAAACAGAAAAAAAAAAATCTATGCTAGAGTCAGAGCAACAGTCCAGCAGGTAAGGGGCTTGCCTCGCATGTGGGGTTCGATCCCTAGTATCCGCTACGGACCTTCCAGCCCCGCCAGGAGTGATCCCCGAGCATAGCTGGGTGTGACACAAAAACAAAAACACAAAGAATTTATCCCACAGTTCTAAAAGCAGGGCTCATTAGGAAATAAGCAAAAGGAGACCAACGGGAGTGATAGTGCCGCCGGGAGGGCATTTGCCTTGCATGCGGCTGACCCGGGTTCGATCCCACAGGGTCCCCGAAGCACTGCCAGGAGTTAATTCCTGAGTGCAGAGCCAGGAGGAACCCCTTGAGCATCGCCGAGTGTGACTCAAAAGAAAAAGGAAAGAAAAAAAAAAAAAGAGAACCACAAACAGCAAAGAAGAGGTCCAGGTGGAAGCAAGTGGAAATACATTTCGCATCGCTAGCCGTTGGAGAAACACAGCTTGGAACTACCCCGTGTTGATGCTGAGCCTCTGCAGGAACAGAAAATGCCAACTGGGTGCAGGGCAGGGCTGCTTCTCCACCACGGGCGGGGATGAAAAACGCGGCCAAATAAGTACCAGGCAAACAACTGGGCAGTTCCTCACCGACGCAGGTGTGCGACCAGCACCCGCCAGCAGACGGTCTCGAGGGTGCCATCGGGAGAGGCGACAGTGTCTCTTCTCGAGACACGCTGGGACGTGAAGTCCTGCCAGGAGTGATTCCTGAGTACAGAGCCAGCAGTGATCCCTGGGCATCGCGAGGGGTGACCGCCACCAAAAAGAAAAAAAATAAAAAACACCCAACCACCTCAAAAGCAGCAACAAAAAAATGTCCAGGGATGCTTATCCTTACGCTGTAAAACTTGGAGCTAGTCAGCATTCCCCTGAGGCCAGCCGTCATACAACACCACACAGCCTTTTTAAAGAATTGTTCGGGGTGCCAGAGTGATAGTCCAGTGGGGACGGCATTTGCCCTGCAACTGCCCAACCGGAATTCAAAATCCTCAGCATCCCAGAGGGGCCCTTGAGCACTGCCAGGAGAGATCCCTGAGTGCAGAGCCAGGAGGAACCCCTGAGCATCGCTGGGTGTGACCCAAAAAGGCAAAATAAACAAATCACTGAAAGAATAAATAGGGGGCCGGGCCGATGGTACAGTGGGAAGGCCCCTGACTGGCACGCAGCCGACCTGGGTTCAATTGCAACACACCTGGTCCCGAGTGTCCAGGTAAGCCCAGAGCACGGCTGGGTGTGGCCCCAAAACAAAACCCCCCCAAAAAATAAATGATCAGATATGTAACTTGGAAAATTTTTGACAGGGTGCTCCCCAGGGGGAAAAAGAGCGATGATGTAGGACATTCTGAATGATTCAACTGGTAAAAATAACGCGATAAAGATCTGTGTGTGAGAGCATGAGTGCGCACACGTGTGTATTACATTTGCATGTGATTACGTGAGGGTGGAGCAGATAATTCTTGATCGGTCGCATCAGTGACCCAAAAGGAGGGAGAAGAGAACATGGCAGCAGAAAAATACAAGAGGCAGGGGAGGAAAAAGTTAAAAAAGAGAAAGAACCAGAAAGGGGGGGTGGGGGGAAGCGAGCTGGCAGCAACGAGAACTCACAAGAGAGAAAGAAGCTCCCCAAATCCCCCGTGGGAGTGGGCAGGGTTGAGGCTGGCAGGTGGGCACGGGTAACGATCAAGGTGCCAGTCTTCCGGGGCAACCGCGAATCGGAAGAACAATCAGTTTTCGAGAGTGTGAAGTCAACATTTCTAACCGTTTTCTAAAGTGTCCGACAAAAACACCCGACTATTGGCCAGTCGCAGGACAGCAGGGAGGGCACTGGCCTGGCGTGGGGCCAACCTGGGTTTAACCCCGGGCGTCCCACAGGGTCCCCCAAGCCCTGTCAGGAGTAACGCCTGAGCACACAGCCAGGAGTCAGCCCTGAGCACCGCCGGGTGTGGCCCCAAACCCACCCACCCAAGTGTGTGCTCGGAAGCCAACACCGCCTGGGGGGCCCGCGGCCAACGAGAACCGGCCTCTGGCACAAGGGGCAGCAGGCAAAGACGCCAGGAACCAACAGGGAAAACCAGAACAGAGACGCCCGCTGGCCTGGCACAGAGCCACGAGCAGGGGGGCCGCAGGAGACAGAGGCGGGCTGTCACTGGCCAAGGGAAGGTCCAGGGTGACCCGGGGCCCACACTTCTGGAAAAGGGAACTTTGTACCCAACACTGGCTTTGCCCAGGCAACCTGCTGTGTGACCACAGGCCCACCTGCCCGCCAGATGGCCCACGGGGGCATCCAGCCTCAGTAACTTCGCAGAGTGGCATGAAGGAAGGCGTGAGCCGAGCCCGTGCCTGGAGGCGCCTCACGCTCCATCCTCAGTGCTCTAAGGACGCCTGAACACCCCAGGGGCGACCGTCAACGCCCCAAACTGGGAGTCGCTGGTACGGCCCAGCACCAAGACAGAGCAAATAACGGGGTCCCAACGTCCCCTGCCCCAAACTACCCATAGGCATTTTTGGGGTCTCTCCCAGTGTCACTGCTGCCTCTGGGTCAAGGTCCCCCGAAGCCAAGGGCCTCTGCAACAGCTCTTTGTGGCTACGCTGGAGAGGGATGTCTTTGGGACCAGAGCAATATAGTTTAGTTTAGCAAGGAGGGCACTTGTCTTGCACACAGCCAGCTAGGTTCGACCCCCCGGCGTCCCATAGGGTCCCCTGAGCACAGAGCCAGGAGGAAGCCCTGAGCACCGACGGGTGTGACCCCAAAAGCAAAAAAAAATAAATAAAATAAAAACCCTCTAGAAAAAACAAATACAGAGGCTAGAGTCATAGCACAGTGGGTCGGGCGACAGCACAGTGGGTCGGGCTTTTGCCTTGCATGCTGACCCAGAATCCCATAGGGTGTCCCCACCCCCACCCCCCGCCCCGGCACCACCAGGAGTCATTCCTGAGTGCAGAGCCGGGAGACACCCCTGAGCTGATATCACCGCGTGTGACCCAAAAAGAGAATAAATAAATAATTAAAGAAATATGTCCCTTTTCTGCTTAAAACAAGTTCTTCGCAGACTTGATTTTCCGACGGTGCCGTGCTAATTTTCTGTCGGACGCTACACGCCGCTGGATTCACCGTTTTTTTCCCAATTCCCAGTCCTGATCTCCAAGCTCTTGCTTGCTGTTACAAGCTGCCCTGGAGACGACTTTACACAGACCCACCCCCGGCAGGGACGCCCTCAATCAGGGGGCCTGGAAGTTCTTTCAATGATACAGTCACAACTGTCATGATACCCACGGCCCAGGTTCCATCGCCGTATTACAGGGTCGCAAGGCCCAACACCCCGGCCAGGCCCCTCCCGCCACCGTTCGGCTCCGGGGGTCCCCGGGGTCCGGGGTAGCACATGTGTACCTGCTGTCAGCGTCCGAGGCGATCTCCTTTCTCCCTCCAAAGCGGATCTGGCACTGCAGGAAGAGAGGGAGGTCAGGACACCCGGTGGGCAAAGGAAGTTCAAACCTCAACCAACACGGGGAGACGGCCCGGGGCGACGGCACAGGGGTTCGGGCGCCTGCCTGGCTTGCAGCTAGCACCTGGCCCTAGGGTGAATCAACACTGCAGATAGGGCACCTGAGCACTGATCCAGGAGCAGCCTGGAGCACCTCTTGGTGCGATGCCAGACAAACAAAAACAAAACAACAACAAAAACTGCAGCGAGGTAACTCAAAAGAGCAGGGGAGCCCTGGATTTCATCCCAGCCCCGCTCGGTCCCTGAGCATCCCCAAGCATGACCCAAAGAAAGGGGAGACAAGGGGCCAGAAGGACCGGACAGGGGCTGGAGCCATAGCACAGCGGGGAGGGCGTTTGCCTTGCACGCAGACAACCCGGATTCAATCCCCGGCATCCCATAAGGTCCCCTGAGCACCACCAGGAGTGACTCCTGAGTGCAGAGCCAGGAAGAACCCCTGTGCATCACCAGGAGTGGCCCCCACCAAAAAAAAGAAGGACAGGACAGCGGGGAGGGCACCGGCCTTGCACGCAGCTGACCCGGTTCAATTCCTGGCACCCTGCAGGGTCCCCCGAGCCAGGACTGAGCACTGAGTGCTGAGCCAGGGGTAAGCCCTGAGTCCTCCTGGGTATGCTCCCCCACCACCACCACCCCCCAAAAAAAGAACCAACTAACAACACAGCCTGCAGGCTCAAGAAAGAGGCCTGAGAGTCAGGGTGCTGGGTGCGGAGTCAGGCTGTCCCTGTACCCCAGAACGTCACCCACGCCAGAAGGGACAGCAGCCCCGTCTGCGGCGGCCCCGGAGAGGAAGCCCTTCTCTCCCGCGGTACAGAGCGGGGAAACCACCCACAGCGGGGCCGGACACTGCCCGGCCAGCGGGAGGTCAGGTTCCCACCCGCACGCAGAGGCCAGCAGTGAGCGGGCAGCACACGCCTCACCTGCTTCACGGCGTCCAGCAGCCGCTCCAGCAGACACTGCCTCTTCAGGTCACTGTTCTGGGGCCCTGAAAGTGAGGTGGGGCAGAGTCACGGGCGCGAGGGCCCCGAGTCGCGGGCGCAAGGGCCCCCGAGAGAGACGCCAAAGGGCTGAGTGCGGGCACTGCACGCGCCACCTGGCCCCAGAGCACCAACCGGGAGCATCCTGAGAGCACCCAGCGCTGAGACCAGCCCCGGGGCAATCGCCAGGCGTGACCCAAAGCACAACCCAAGCTGTGGAGAAGAGCTTGGGCAGGTGCTGCCGGCCGGCAGGCGGGGGAAGGGCCGCGAACAGAGGCCAGCCGCCTCCTTCCGGCCTTCGGCAAGGTCAGAGCAACGGAGGCCAGCCTGGGAGACAGGGTGCGAGGTCAGGCCCCCAGGAAGCGCCGGACACAGCCCCACGTGGCTGCACGAAGGCCCCTGGCCAGCGCCTGGCGCAGCCCGACCATGATCAGGGGACAGCGTGATCACCAGCCCTGCAGGGGAAGGTGGCCGCCCCCTTCCCCGGGTACTGGGCAGCGGGCCCCCAAGAAGGAAGGAAGACGGGGGCGCTGCTGACACGGTGCTCCCCTCCCCCCCACACACTGGACACCTGGCAACACATGCAGAAACCGTCACAGCTTACAGGGAGGGGCAGCATCTGAGGCGAGCCCAGGGAGGTCCCAACCCCGGGCTCCCAGCAACGATCGAGCGCCCCGGGACCATGGCCACAGGCAGCTCCAATCCAGAGGCCCACTCGGACCTCCGGCCTCTCGCGGCCACTCCAGCCGCCCACCGGCCCTCCCGCCCACATCCCTGTGTGATTTTTTGTTTTTGTTTTCTTTTTGGGTCACACCCGGCAATGCTCAGGGGTTCCTCCTGGCTCATGCACTCGGGAATCACTCCTGGCGGTGCTCGGGGGACCCTATGGGATGCTGGAGATCGAACCCGGGTCAGCCACGTGCGAGGCAAAATGCCCTACCCGTTCCGCCCTCCCCCCATCCTCGTCCTTCCCTTCCCGCTGCGTGACGCAGACAGTCTCTGTGGAGCTGGGACCGTCCCGTCTCGTGGCTGCCACTCGGGCTCCCCCAGGACCAGCCCGTGCAGCCCCCCGGCTGGAGCGACGGGCCGATGGTGGCCGCACACACGCGTGGCTCATGGCAGTCACAGGCCAACACGCCACACACCCAGAGCCCCGCAGGACTCTCAGGCCCACACGTGTGTTCACTGCATGTATGCACAAGACCCGCTCCTGGGGCCGAGAGCGAGTACAGGGCACATGGCCAGTCCTCTTCCCGGGACCACCTGGGGTCCCCTGGGCCCTGCCAGGAGTAAACCCTGAGCACTGTGGGGTGTGGCCCCCCACCAATAAAATTTGTATCACTTGTATCACTTTTCGTCCCATTGTTCATCGATTTGCTCGAGTGGGCGCCAGTAACGTCTCCATTCGTCCCAGCCCTGAGATTTCAGCAGCCTCTCCTTCCTCGTCCTTCCCAACACTGCCACACTGGGGGCTCTTTCAGGGTCAGGGGAATGAGACCCATTATTGCTACTGTTTTTGGCATATCAAATACGCCACAGGGAGCTTGCCAGGCTCTGCTGTGCGGGCCGGATACCCTCGGTAGCTTGCCGGGCTCTCCGAGGGGGACGGGGGCAGGAGATTTGGCAGAATCACAAATAAAACTTAACAGCAGAAAAAAAATAAGGGTCAGGGAAATAGTCCAGTGGGTAGGTGCGGGTCTGTCCCCGGCACCAAAAACACGTGCGAGCCCCAGGAGTGATCCCCGAGCACAGAACCAGGAGTGATCCCTGAGCACAGAGTCAGGAGGAAGCCCTGAGCACTGCTGGGTCGGGGCCCCCCTTCCAAACACAGGGGGTGACTCCAAGGTGCTCAGCAGACATGTTTCAGTAAACAGACACACAGTAAGTACTTGAGGCCTTTTTTGGCGAATCCTCCGTCACAGCTCCTTGGTACGGCCATCGTGGGCCGAAGGCAATCGGACAATCGTCAATGACTCTCTGTGTTCCACCCGGCAGGAAAACAGCTGGGCAGAAGAGAAACACACGGGGTGGAGAGAGGGCTCAGGGCTCACTCCTGGCTTGGTGCTCAGGGCTCACTCCTAGCTTAGTGCCCAGGGATTACTCCTTGCTTGGTGCTCAGGAATCACTCCTGGCTTAGTGCTCAGGGCTCACTCCTGGCTTGGTGATCAGGGCTCACTCCTGGGTTAGTGCTCAGAGCTCACTCCTGACTTGGTACTCAGGAATCACCCCTGGCTCAGTGCTCAGGAATCACCCGGCAGTGCTCAGGGACCATGTGGGGTGCCGGGAATCAAACCAGGGTCAGCCGCACAGCAAGGCAAGAGCCTTAACCCCTGTACTATCTCTCCAGCCCCTAAATAATAACACACACACACACACACACACACACCAATGGCACTGTACAAACTTCTTGGAGCAAAGGTCTATCTTCCTCTCTCAGCTGGAGAAATGCAACCGCCCCCATCACAGGTCGGTGCAGGTTGAAAACAACCTCGCTGGGTTTGCAGGGCAACGGAGCGGAAACACTCTGCATGGTGCGGGCAAAGTCTCACTGTAGGATGTTCTGAAAAGCAGAGCGGCAGGACACCAACGGCCCCTGGGCGGGAGGGGAGAAGGAAGGAGCACTGAGTGCTCCCAGGACCCTTCTCCATCCGCGGAGCCACTGAGGCACGAGCACTCTGCCGCTGCATCCGTGTCCATCACCAACGCTCCGGGGAAACCTGGCCCAGCCCGCGCTGCACCCATCACCCAGGGGGTTCGCTCACTCCAGGACTGGCCCAAGCTCTTCCCACTCGAACCCGCAACTGCCCAGCAGAGCAGCTGGGTGTGACCCAGAAAGAAAAAAAAGAGCAGGGGCTGGAGCGATAGCACAGCAGGTAGCGTGTTTGCTTTGCACGTAGCCTGACCCGGGTTCAATCCCCAGCATCCCATAGGGTCCCCCCCCCCCCCGAGCATGGCCAGGAGTGATTCCTGAGTGCATGAACCAGGAGTAACCCCTGTGCATCGCTGGGTGTGACCCAAAAAGAAAAATAAAATAAAATAAAAAAGCAATGCCACCACGTACATGGCACAGGCGTGGGCCAGGGAAGTCCAGAGTGTCCAGAGTGTCGGAAACGCTGGCGCTGACCGAGCCCGAGGCCTGCTGGGAGGCACAGCCCCCCTTCCACACGGCCTCGGATGCTACTTCTTTATCGCCGTTGATGGGGGAGGAGGGAGCCTCTGAGACAGACCGGGTGAGACCGTCAGGGGCTAAAGGACTCACACCTGGTCCCCCAGCCAGGCCTGGAGCCAGCCCTGAGCACAGAGCTGGGAGTAAACCCTGAGCTCCTGGGGCTGTGGAGGAAAAACAAACAAAAGACACAGAGATGAGGAAAAACGGAGAGGCAAGTGGGCGGGCGGTCCGGCCAGGTGCTGAACACGAGGCTGGCCCTGAACCCGTGTCTCTCCTGCCCCTTCGGAGAGGAGTTGGGGGTGGGAGCAGATGCAGGAGGACACACCCTCGCCACTCCGCTGTCACCCACCACCTTTCTCCCTAGGGCCCTCGCTCTGCTCTGCTCCCTCGGGGACACAGAGACTACACTGTGGCACGTCCGAGGGACGGGAAAGGTTTCTCTCCATTCCCAGGACCAAACTTCCCTCCATGGAGGGGTGTGACAAGATGGGGAAGGCCAGAGTTGGAGTGACAGTATGGCGGGGAAGGAGTTTGCTTTGCAAAAAAAAAAAAAAAAAAAGTCAAAGCAATGCCACCATGGGGCCGGAGTAATAGCACAATGGGGAGGGTGTCTGCCTTGCACATGGCCAACCCGAGTTCAATCCCCGGCATCCCATATGGTCCCCGAGCTCCACCAGGGGTAATTCCTGAGTGCAGAGGCAGGAGGAACCCCTGAGATCGTTGGGTGTGACCCAAAAAAAAAAACAAACAAACGAAAAAAAAAGTCAAAGCAACCCAAATCATATGGGTCTCACCCCAGCTTCACCGGGAGTAATTCCTGAGGACAGACCCAGGGGGAACCCCTAGGCATTCTGGGTGTGATTCAAAAAATAAAAACCAAGCAAGGCCTGGGGGTTAGAGAGATACTACAACAAGTAAGGCATCACATATCAATTCCTGAGAGAAGGGGAAGAGGGAGAGAGAGGGAAAGAGAGAGAGAACCCTAAACACATACAAGATGGTAAGTCCATCAAATCTTGGGTTTTCTTATGGAGTTAGGTGGCTCTAAGATCCATACTTGTAATCTGCCCCCATATGTCACGTATGTCATTAGGGACAAATAAAACTGACTGTCACATTCTTCCCTGATTCGAATGAAAACCACACATAGGGACCAGAGCAACAGCACAGCAGGAAAGGCACTTACTTGTATGCAGATGACCCGGGTTCGATCCCTGGCATCCCATATGGTCCCCTGAGCACCACCAGGAGTGATTCCTGAGTGCAGAGCCAGGAGGAACCCCTGAGCATCGCAGGGCGTGACCCAAAAAGGAGAGAGAGACAGAGACAGAGACAGAGAGAAAGAGAGAGAGAAAGAGAGAGAGAGAGAGAGAGAGAGAGAGCCACAAATATTCCTTTTTATCTTTTTTGGTCCCCACCCAGTTCCGCTCAGGCTGAGTCCTGGCTCTCGGTGGGGCCAGAGAGATGCTCCGAGGTGTCAGGGATCCCACTGGGCCGTGCAGTGCCTTGGCCCCTGTATCACCTCACCGGTCCCACACGAATTCTCTTTTGTCCATTCACTCACTCCCACTTACTCTTCATTTAAACACAAGTTGCGGCTGAACCGGGCTGGGTCACCGCCAGGGGAGAACGTGACCTTCATGATTCTGGGAGAAGGAGGCCGCAGGGTCCTCGCAGCCAGCCTCCCACCAAGCCCCACCCCGGCTATGCCCAGGCCTTGGAGACCGTTTCGCAGTACTGGGCTTCTCTGGGCCTGGCCCGACCCTCCTCTATTTTTTGGCTTTTCTTTGTGGGGGAGGAGGTCACACCTGGCGATGCTCGGGGGTTTCTCCTGGCGGTG